CCGCTCGGGTAGCCAATCACAGCGCAGGATTTGATTCATCTTGCCCGCTCACGGAGCTAGCCATGTAATAAAATACTTTATTTAGACACGTCACGTCTAAGAGCTGTAAAAGCAGACGTTCGACGAAAAAATGTCAAAAGAGATCACCCTTAAAACCACATGACACGCAAGATTCTGAACTGCGTTCTGCGAACGCAATAAGTTTCGTCGCGCAGTATTTTTGTCCGTCCTATGCATTTCTTATTAGATATGGCGCGTTTTTCTCCATACAGATAATAGAGTGAATTGAGATTGACTTTCTTTTATATTATGCTCCTCCTTTCAGTTCGGTTTACATCATCTAATTGAGTTTTTCAGGTTTCTTCTAGCTTCTTCTGGATGTTTCGATTTTATAAGCATGTGTTTTTCCTGACACGGAATATCCCCATGAAGCATAGCCTACGAAGACAGAGGGATTTCCAGGTTTTATTTGTTTCGGCGGCGTGATACAAAAGCCGGAAATCTGTCTGTGTTCGCATGCTACAAGAAGGAGACGCAATCGATTTCTTCGCAGCTCCAATGAATATAAGCTTATGAAGAGCAACTGGTCGCATAGTATAAGACGGACAAACTCATGAAAACATCTGTCGTCCTCGAGATTCATCACTAAACTGATCATGGCCTTGCTGAATACTTCCCCGAACATTTAGAGACGTGGGCTTTTAAAACAAGGTAAAAGCACCTCCCTTTCAACTCTTCCAAACACCGAAATGCGTCACGTAATGTCACGTGAAGGTAAAAGCCTCTGCGCAGGCTGCATATTTTCAAACCAAAGTGCGCATGCTCAAGTCTGACATCAAAATCGAGAATTTTTACAACACAGGAACAGTACCAAATAGTGTGCTGTCTCGCCAAACCTCGTCAGCAAGGTGCAACACAACAGTTTTCACTCACCAATTATGGTGGCCCTCTATTTGGAAGAAGAGTAAAAAGGGCTTTAGTATATTCAAGATTATAAAAGTAAAGGTTAAAAATATAGCTAGTGATTGGTCAGTCAATCAAGCTAACCATTACAATTATCACGGTGCTCCCCACAATGTTGGTAATGGACCCACTTCTGCTGCACTAGTCTCTTGACTAGACGTACTGTAACAGGAAGCTAGCTATCTGCCTCTGCTGCAACTTTGAAGTCGTCCAAAGCTGATATTGATTGAAAAGCGTAATCTCGGCTTTTCAAGTTACTTCTTGGGATACTTAGCTAGAGTACGGCGCATTGATTAGTTGCAATCCTTTGTTGATCATTCATTCCATCTAGAAGATAATGTCGTCTTCGCTCTCAGGAAATGCCACGTCAAAAACTTTCTGTAGCTTGTAAGTCACGTGATCTAAAGTAAAGACAAAGAGCCGTGGATCAAAAACCTCGCGAGAGTTTTGTATATGTGTGCCAGTGACGGTCATGTTGGCATGTTGGGTGCAAACATACGAAGAAAAAGAACCTGTAGTATTAGGCCACTGGAATATATGGCTATAAAATGGTTAAGCAAGCAACCAGAACAACGATCCTGCTGGTATACGTTGGATCAATAGTGATCTAATCGGCTTCACATATAAAATGAAGAATACAAAAGCAAAAACCGACACAACGTAGGATGATTTCTTTGAGGGTGTACCATATTTCGGCTGGGCAAACCAGCAATTAATTCCCATCAAAAAAATCTTTTCCAACCGAAATTCTATCCGTAAGGCCAGGGAAGCTCTTTTAATTCCAAAAGGCAGAACAATTGATCCCGATGGTCTGAACATCCGCGAAGAAACATATTCATTGTTTCCTTTTATTATGTTATTTCATTATTTTATTTTACCTTATGCTTATCTTTAATTTACACTGTCAATTAGTTTTACGTATTTCCGGTATTTATACGAAAATATGCTACATAAAAATGCGTCCCAATATAAAATTCTCATTGTACCTGAAGAAGGCTGATTTGGTCAGCCGAAATATAGTGCACCTTCAAAGAATATATGGCGCATGTTCAGGAACGGGGCGGGGCGGGGCGGGGCGGGGCGGGGCGAGGTGGGGGAAGAGAAGTGACAGGAACGAATACTCGGAATGACCCGGCGCACGCGCACCTTAAAAACTCACTACGCAATTTATACCCACAACGCAGCCTATCCTATATATATTTTGATGGGATAATCCTTAATGTGAATGATGGTCTGCAGCAAAATAAAAGTCGAAGGAAGCAAAACTTTTTTGGCAAGTCCTCAGGGTCGTTCGAGTTTATGTTGGTGATCGTTGGTATCTGTTGCAGAGGAACGGAATTGGGGTGAGTCAAAACTAAGACCAAGAAAAAGAAGGAACAGGACGTTCGAGTTTGTCGTACAATTAGGAAATAAATCAATCCAGTCAGTCAAAACGTAAAGAAATCAGCAGAGGATTACCAACAAAGCGAAGAAAACTTGGCGGAACCACTTTGTACCGTACAAACACCAAATAAAATGGGATCCCAGCGGAAACGAACAGCAGACAGTAAAACGATTGCAGCGGAGCGTCGTAGAACGGCGCAAACACCAAGTAAGCTGAAACCAAAACCATGAAGATTGGGATTCCTATCCACACCTGTAAAAATAAATCAAGATCCGGCATTGGCCACGTCAGAGGGTTTTCCGTGTTATTTACGTTTTGTCCTTTGTCATCGTGTTCGAAACCAAATAACCATAACCTGGGTATTTAAGAAAAACGCAAACTCCGATGGAGAATTTTTAATATTAATTTCCATTTGAAATTCAACGTGTTGTTCAACGTGCAGGCGGTGCGTGGAAACTAGTAGCTGGTGCCAAGCGCGAGAAGCAAATTTTTGGTTTTACTTTTACTTCTGGTTCGTTGAAAATATAAAGTAGAATCTCTGATTGATTAGAGCATATGGCTCAGTTTTAGTTTATAACTAAGTGATATTTTTCATTGATTTTTACCTTGTATGGTCGCACGGCGTTAGGTCTTTTATATCTCAGCCAAAGAATACTGGAGATTGAAGAACCATAACCCAACCAGCCGAAGAACGTGAAGTAATTCAACAACACTTCAAATGTCGTGGAATCAGGAATCAGCATCAGCCATGAAATTATACTCTTACAAATAAAACCAAATTAATTGGTTTGAACCTACTGTACAGTAACTACAAGTATGTCTCCACTTTAAAAACATAACAGGGGGATCAGATTCGCGTTTTTGTCAACATTTAGCCAGCGAGCACGCTCTCTATTCCAAGAGCTGACAAGAGAACTGACTCGAAGGCTATGCAACATTGGACGATGTCATGTCATGTTGGACGATAAATGCAAATTCAAGACTGAGTGGAGGGCTAGACCCCGTCCACACTACACTGGAGAAATTTGAAAACGATGTTTTCACTCTGAAAACGCATCAAATGTTTTCCGTCCACACTTAACGGGAGAAATTTGAAAACGCAACAATCACCGGTCATTTTGGATTTGCGTTTGAGGAAAACTCGGTCAGGGAAACTACGCGGTTTATATCGTGACATCATCGTCGTAAAAAAACCTCTCTTTCTTAAAATGCTTCCCGTCCACATGATGCAAAGCAGGGATTTGAAGAGCGTTTTCGTGACGGAGTAGTGTGGACGGTACGGGTTAACCGTAGGAATAAAGCTGCGTTTTCAAATTTCTTCGGCGTAGTCACGGGGCCTAACGGTCTTGAAGATTAAACAGGCGTCTACTCCTGTGTTAAATGAAATGTGACCGTTTAGTTGTCTACCAGCAAGTGTTATAAAAACACACTGAAAAGGTCGTACGGTTGTTTTCAACTTTAAACCCGAAGTCCATTTTAGGCATGCCGGTTTGAGAGTTTTAAAGGCAAACTATTCCCATCGATTCAACTTTCGGCAGTTTCAAACTTAACTATAGTCGGCAAACCGAACTGAGTATTTATTGCTTCATCCAGAATCTTTTCGCAACTTTCTTTGTTTGTGCACTTTTTACCGCCTTTTGTATTTTGATGTCACTAAAGCAGCCGTTTTCTGTCAGTTTAAGTCACCCCTGTCCCCATCTCAGCGTCTCCATTGGCTGCCTTTCATGAACGTGAGAGTAGCCATTTATTATCATCTTCAGGAAGCATATATGTGAGCCATCCTGTCATAAAAAAGAACCCTGACCAGGGGAACATATTCAAGACTTACAGAAAATATAAGCCCCGGGAGCGGTGTTCGTCTCTTTCTGTGAATCATGGCGAGAAACCGTGGGAGATGTCCCTCTCGTGCAGCGGCAAATGTCAATCTGAAAAATAATTTTAAAGACTGAGTAAAATACAGAAGCACAGCTATGAACAGATGCGTTTCTTCTGCTATTTTGAAATGGTGCAACTTAAGTCCGGTCCCTCGTCACCGTTCTTTTCTCAGAACAGGGACATACGGCGGCTGGAGTTCACGAGTGAGACTGATGCGTACAATGTTGCTGTTTGTTTCTGTTTACAAACCAGTCTGCTAGGTTTTAAAACCCCCTCTAGTTTTTATCTTTTTAGTAAGACCTAGACCGATTCCCCAGACTGTTATCCACGTACAGTACCTAGCTTCATAGAGAATTAATGATAATCCGAGAATGTTCATTGTGCCGAAATTCAGACAAAAATTGGCAAAACTAGATGTTATATTTCGTTAAGGACTATACCATAATCAGACTGGAATATGCATACTAGGTAGCTCCCTAAAATGTTACTAACGATGAAGAAGAGATGAGTTCTTTGTTGAGGGAAGGTAATATGAAAATGTAAATCTTCTTTATAGTGGTCATGCCCTTAGCTATACAAGCACTAAGCTTAGCTAGTTTACAGGCATGTCACTGAAACAAAGGAAACAAATATGTCAAATAAACACAACATAGTTAAAAATTTTAACTGGCAGGAGGCAGACCAGTTGGCTATTTACAAAGCGTGACCAAGGATTTGAACTCGGGACCACCGATTAACAAATCCCGCTGGTGGCAGGGTGGAGTCCTTGAACGCGGGGGTTCTGGATTACTACACTAGCGCTTTAAACCACTCGGCCACGCTGCCTCCTTACAATATTCCTATTTGTGTAGGAGAAGATTCCAATTGTTGTCGCAGTCCCCTAATACTATCAGCTGACAATTAGTCACTTAAAACAATAAGGCTGCAGGGTGACTGACTGCCAACAATCAATGTCTACTTTACCTTCCTCCTGCAAAAGCATTTGCATTAGCAGTACCAAACGTGGAGCAGGCGACAAGTATTGGAATGGTCCACGCCATGATTCCATATAACCTGTTTGCCAGGGTCTTTCGAGACAGAAAAAAAAAACGCCCACAAATTGGATTGGTAAGTAGGAAAGGTACCTCACTCAAGGTTAATATCAGATATTGGTATTACTTTATTTGTCGTCGTTCTTGCATTTTCCTAGCCTGTTTATTTATTGCAATATATGTCATCCATAACAAATACTACCTATGTAATGGTGAAAATTCAACTATTTGACCAACTAACCATTTGACCAACGAACAATACATTTTAATGAGTTATACGTGAGTAAATGCGACAAAAGTAAATCAATGGTGAGTGTAGGAGAGGAGCCCAGGCCCCCCTTCTCTCACGGATAGAGAGAGTGGGACCCAAAGTGCCCCCGTTTCGAGAAAAAAAAACCTATCATCTTCGCTCCTTCCGCCCTAGTCTCTGCCTCCTTTTCGGATCCCTCACAGCAAGAAAGGGCTCTCTCAGTAACTGTTAACTGATTACGAGTTTCTGAGAACTCGCACACAATTCAAACTCACACCAGTTTTCAAGCAACTAAGGGTGCGTTCCTCTGGGGTGATCTGGATCAGGATCAGTGATCCAAGATCTGTCTAGATCATGGTGTTTCAAAGGAACCGATGAATCCACTCGGGTCATGGATTCATCGGTTCCTTTGATTCACCATGATCCAGACAGATCTTGGATCACTGATCCTGATCCAGATCACCCCAAAGGAACCCACTGTAACTCTCTGGTTTATAACATGCTATAACACGTATACACCCATGCAAACACGTCTATTTTGTGCCTCTTAGACTTCTTACCACAGCGACAGCTTCAGAATCCAGGACTTCCTGTGGTGTAAGCACTGTGAAGTATCCAATGTTCACCAGCAAGTAGCATGACGTCACGAGAGGAATGCCAATCCAAATGGTGAGAGGAAGATTTCTAAAAATTACATAATAAAAATCAAACGATTAACGTATAAATAGGATTTGTTAATATTTTTGGATTCATCTCTTCTGCTTCTTACCTGTTGGGATTTTTTATCTCCTCTGTAATAAAGTTCAACTGATTCCTAAAAAATAAAATTTGTTTAGAGCTAGGCCAGGTAGGTTGCTTTACATTGGTTCTACTTTTGTTTAAAGACCTATAAATATAGTTTGACATTTTGGAAATTCCAGATTTTTAGTCTCGTGGAGTACAGAGCAATGTTTTCTCTCAAGTGTCTGGAGGAGTTTCTCAGTGTCCACAGAAGACAATATTAAAACCAAAATAATTTATTTTTTTTGTCCATTCGGCGTCAGAGCTTGTCACCTTTTGCGTTAGCACTAAGCGAGCTTGTTGATGGGTCAGTAATCACACGAAATGAATTCGCGACTCTCGACATGTTGGCCAGCAAGCTATAATGCACCTCTTTAGTAATACTCACCATCCATCGTAGGGAAATAATCCATTGTAAAAAGCGTAGGCGAGAAGTCCAATATTTGGGCTGGTCCCGGTAAAACTGTTTTCTAGGGAAGAAGTATGGCCTGAAACAGAGAAGTGTAGAAAGGGCTTTAGAAAACCGGTTGCTGTTTTAAAAGATTTTTTAAACTTTTATTTTTTTTAGCTTCATAAAATAAAACTAAGTTTCCCAGTCATTCACGATCCCGAAGGCGAGAAGAAAGGGAAACCTGAAAGCGACCCAGGCAGTGGCGGATCTAACGGAGGGGCCCGGAGGGTCCGGGGGCCCCTTATTTTGGATAAAAAAGAAAACTCGCAAAAGGAAGAAAAGCCGACAGGACAAGCAAAAAAAACAAAAAAACAACAACGACAAAAAAAACGGGTCACCCCTTTAGCTCAAGGTCTGGATCCCCACTGCCAGAGCCCCGTTTCTCGAAAGACCCGGAAACTTTTCGGGCCCACAAAGCCATTTTACTTTACTGTTTTCGGGACTTTTCGGAAACCTTTCGGGACCTTCAAGTAACGAGAAGTACGTATCTGGCAAAAAGCGCGGGAATTTATGTAGCCGGCGAAAGGCGCAGGAAAATACGCTACCATGACGTCATCCGAGACAAGCTACCTTGACATGTGAAAATATGCGTGCACCTTGCTAGCAGTCATACAAAAATCATTGTTTGTATAAGGGAATTAAAGTTTTTACGCTATTAGTGCTTTTAGTGGTTACCTTGAGCTAAACGTATGAGGCCCGTGACTATCAGCATAACAATGGCGATCATCTTGGCTGCAGTGAAGATAATCTGCATTCTAGTGGCCCACTTCACACTTGCGCAATTGACGAATAATATTACACCTGTAAGATATTGAGAATATTCCCAGAAAATATATTAAACAATTATTCAACGCAAAGTAGAGATAAGGCGATGCAATTGAAGGTGCCATAGTCAACATACAGGGTTAGGCTCTGCAACCGACCGTTCTGGGGTTTTCGCACAACGCTTTTGACTCTGAGGGTCTTTTACGATCATTTTTTTACAATGCACTCCTAGGAAATGTTTTAAAACTGGGTATTTTCCCGGGGGGTATTCCTAGAAAAATTGTGTGGGGGTGTGCGGCCCGCTTTCCAAAACCCTTACCCTATTTATGACAAAAATCTGGGATTTTCCTACCTTATTTATGACCTGACCAAAAATACGATACCCTATTTATGACCTGACCCTTAAATCGATACCCTGTTTTAGACCTACCTTATAATTAGTTCCTTAGTTCAGACCAATGTTAAGCATAATTTGTGAAGCGGCTTTTTTGATGGTCTTTTCAATAATGATGAAAAATAATAAGACAGCTTCTCTTTAAAAACATACCCATATCAAGACTAGAAGGCAAAAGCCATACCCTATTTATTACCAAAATCGCCAAAATCGATACCCTATTTATGACCAAAACGGCTGAAAAACCATACCCTTTGGGTCCGTATACATAGCTATATAGCCCATGTAAGGGAGTACCCTCTCGGGCGTATTCTTAGAAGCTGTCCCGGCAGGGCTTTTCCAGGGCATTAGAGACCTTACTAACTTGTAAGTTTGTCAAAGTGGAGGAGACATACAAACCATTGTACGGTTGTTATAATAGTCGGCGAGTGAGAACTTGCGTGACATGCGACACCGTGCGAGATTANAGTTATCACCTTACAACCATTTAGTACATTGATCTGTTTGCAGAAAAGACTGTTTTCATGAAGCATCGAACGGAAGGTAACAAACGCGCCGTTTCCAAGGCAACAGTGCAACCTTGTAATAATTACAAAATACATAACTGAACAGTTTGAGCCAAAATCAATTTCAAGATTATAAAACAGACTAGACCTGAAGGTTTGTCTCACCGTATTTCAAATCTCAGCCATGTTCTCCCTTTTGCATCTCATTCAATAAACGAGGCTTAATTAAAGACATTAAGCCTTCAAGTGGTTATTGATTTCGTTCCCAGACCTCCCGCTTTTTCGGTCAGCAGTGACCGAACCCACGATAAAATGTAGAAGAAATGAAGCAATGCTTCTCATATCATTGCAGTCAGCTCATAAATTAGATCCGTACAATGATTTATGTGCACGTGTCGACAGTAAACCAATTTAAATTTGTAAATTCCAGGAAGACTGCATGTTTCATTGTGTTTGGTGAGTATAGATATTTCATGAAATTTGACGGAAATTGCAGCTTTGCCGTCGTTTCTGATAAAGCAACATAGTTTGTCGGTTGCTTTTCTTTTCAAATAAATAACTACGTATTTGACACCGCAATATAAACTGCATTTGCTCTCTTTAATCACGTTCTCTAAGAAAATTAGAGCAATGGAGCAAACAAATTTCTTCGAAAAAATTTAACAAGTAAAACAAATTATTAAACGCGATAAAAGAAAACAAGGACCGCAAAAAAAAAACAACAACAAAGAAAACAAACAAACAAAAAAAAAAACAACGAAAAAAACAGGTATACTTTAAGTCTCCAGAAATGTCCACAGCAGACCGGCAGTCGCTCAATGTTAGTGCGATCAGAGAGAAGCCTTAAAGTTGAAATGCCTTAGGCATTAAAATGGTAGGAAAAAAAAAAAAAAAAAAAAAAACTTTTATTAAACTTACCCGTCGCTGCCGCTGCTATGATCTTTACCAGCGGCATAAGATCTTCTCGACTACTACAACCAGGGAAGAAAGGCTCGATGACGTAAGCTCCAAACACAAGGAGAATCATAACACCAGAAGGCTTAGAAAACAACACAAAGACCCAAGAGTACAGGAATGCTGGAAGAGCTCCATACGCCTCCAACAAGTAGGGGTATTCGGCACCTGATCTCGGGATCAGGGTTCCCAACTCGCAGTAACATAAAGCACTAAATAAAGCGATCATGCCACAAAGGGCCCACATTACCAGAGACATTCCTACGGAACCGACGTACAAAAGAACCCATTTTGGAGTTGCGAAGATCCCTGAGCCGATTATTGTGCCAACGAGAAAGGAAATCGCTCCTGGGGCTCCTAGGGAACGCTCGAGGCAGACAGGCTTTCCCCGCCTTTCGCCATGGAGTTCACCATCTTGACTATCCGTGAGCATGTTTTGACGTTGTTCTAGCTCAGCCATCGTCATAATTGCGAATTCAGTACAGTGCAAACACAAGCTTGAGCGGTAAGGTCACCTGTTGATTTAAATCTCATATAAGTGGTTAGACAATGGGATCATGGAGATGTACCTCCCGGTACCAGATACCTTTGCACTTCTCCTCCTCCCCTGCCCCTCCTCTTCCCCTCCCCTCCCCCTCCCCTCCCTCCATTTTGTGGACGAGTAATGAGACAACAAAGGATCTACAGTTTTCGTCGTGTAGTATTAGATTTGTGCATTGTTTCAGTTTGTGAACACGTTAAGTTTGGAAAAAGATTACAAGTGATAGGTGCCGCGATTTTAAATTTAGGATCAGCTTATTATGTCGATAAACAGCTTATGTTGTTGTTTACGTGCAGATGATGTATTAAAAAAATGATCATGTCAGGCCACGATTTGGGAAAAACAAAATAGGCGCCCCCTCCCTCCCTCCCTCGATTAAGCGCCCTCTCGAATAAGCGCCCCCCGTTTTCTCCTAAATTTGAAATAAGCGCCCCGGGCGCTAATTCGAGGATTTACGGTACCTGACAAAAAGCCGGCTGTCACATGGAAGGTAGAAATAGAAAAGGAAAAGATTTTCGACGTTTGTCTTCCCCTGCTACTGCTCCACAAGTCCCATTTCTTTATTTCCGTTCGGACACTATGGAGCTTCAAGACCTTCCACAGCTGAACAGAGCATTTGCCTCCGTGTATTTTGTCAATAAAGTTTTCCTATCCGTGTCATCTGTACATCGTATCCTGTCATCCTCTAATCAAGCCGCAAATAAGTAATTTTTCCGTGTCAAAAAAATTGTGTTAATGATATCTGATGCTTTCATGCGTTTCACATCACCCGCGATCGACCAATCAGAGTGGCAGACTGGCACTCCTTTCGTCCGCCTCTCCAGGGTCCCCTCGATCAAGTGGAGAAAAAGGACGGCCATTTTGAATAGTGTTGACACGGCATTCTTGTGGCAACTTCGTATACGTGTAGCGTGTTTTAAAGATTTAAGCTTAATGTTTTGTAATGTCCTAGAGTTCAAAAGCACTTTTTACCATTGAAGCAAGGCTGTGGTACTTTATTTCTTAATCAACATAGCCCTAACGCTTTGGTCCGTCGTTCGGTCAGTCAACAGCACGATGCCTAGTAATCCTCGAAGAGTCAAAGCGAACAAAGAAGGTATTAAACTTAGCGTGAATGGTTTGGGGAGGGAATAATGAAGTTTAAAGTTAAATACCCGTAATAAAGTTTATCTGTAATGAATTTGGCAATTTCTTGGTCATTTCAAATCCAGGTATGGCTAAAACTACGGCAAAAGCGAGCGATAGTGAAGATTGCGACGATTTACCAGATTTGGTTGATTGCACGGATGACGAGGTAACTTCTTTTTCAGACGGATAATTTTCACTTTTATTCACCGGTGCTCTGTTATAAACTACAGATATTTTTTTCTATTGAACCAAGGATTCTGGCGAAGAAGAGTACCACAAAAAGCCTCCGACTAAAGCCAAAGGTAAAGCAAGGGAAAAACCGGCACCGAAGGCTAAAAACAACGGTTAGTTTTGTTTTTTGGTTGTTGTAAGTCTTGTAATGATGATGCCAAGGAATGAGTTCTGAGGTATCAATGTCTTATTTTTCTTATTCAGCTACTCAATCACGTTATTTCACAGGTAACACTGTATTTAATTGAGGGCTCAAAATTCATCTGATCAGACTTTTGTCAGAGTCGACTTCGATCAGGCACGAAGGGGTCGGGGATCGGGGGCGGGGGGGCGGGGAGGCTGGAACGGAGAGAAGAGAAAAGCTGAGAGTTACATGACCCTTGTTGTAGTTTCAATGCCAGTCATTACAAGCAGTCACTACAGGCAGTTTCCTTGTCTGCCTTATGTGCCAAACATACATTTTCACACCTATCTTGGTCAATTTTTTGCAGGTTGTAAGAGTTATTTTGCCTACAGGGTCTTACCATCTTTCTTTGTTTTATGAAAGGGTATAGTTCCCGCCTTTAGAATTTGTGTGTTGTACAATTTTCAATGTAGCAACCTCTTNGGGGGGGGGGGGGGGGGGGGGGGGGGAGGCTGGAACGGAGAGAAGAGAAAGCTGAGAGTTACATGACCCTTGTTGTAGTTTCAATTCAAATCATTGCAAGCAGTCACTACAGGCAGTCTCCTTGTCTGCCTTATGTGTCAAACATACATTTTCACACCTATCTTGGTCAATTTTTTGCAGTGTTGTAAGAGTTATTTTGCCTACAGGGTCTTACCATCTTTCTTTGTTTTATGAAAGGGTATAGTTCCCGCCTTTAGAATTTGTGTGTTGTACAATTTTCAATGTAGCAACCTCTTCAACATGTAGTCAGTGATTATATGCAAAATAAATACTGTATAAGCAAAGATGAAAAAAAGAAGCCATTATTTTCAGGTAGCAGCTAGTTTTGGTGAGAGCATGCTTAAATGCCACAATTGCATGTTGTCATTACATACCACAGTCAAACCTCTCCACAACCGCCATCATGGGGGGAGAGGAAAGTGGTTGTTTTAGAGAGGTGGCTGTTATAGGGAGGTAGGGATGTAATATGACACCTTTTACTTTTGGGTGGTGCATCATATTTTATCTTTAAAAGTGCTTATTGTAGGATGTAAATACATCACATGATCAAAATATATCAATAAGACAGAAACAGAGAGGAACAGCGTTTTCAGTATGGATCAAGTTTAATGACCTATTTACATCATGTATATTAAAAAATAGGGGTGCTGTATACTCCTTTTGTCAGTCATCAGGGCTGTCATTAAGTTTTGGGTCACCTGCAGCCTTGTTCTCCACACCCACAACAAAATTGTTACTTTGTGGGTGAATTTTATCAACAAAGGGCAATTGCACCTGTAGCATCAAGAGAAAATCAAGTATACTCAGCCGTAACAGGTGTTATGGGTTATGGCCCTTAATGACAGCCCTGGTCATTGACTAACTGGCCGTTGTTAAGAGGTTATGAGAGTTGTCGAGAGGTTTCATAAGGCTGGATGGTGAAATTATGTTTTCTTTTTCGTCACCTGAATCAAGCAGTCTGGCATCATTTGTCAGAGCTGTTTTTGAGTTACAAGTGCTCTTCAGTGAAAATAATAATGGTATTTTTATCAAGGTGCACTGTTATTATGGTAACCTATTCTGCCTTGAAGATAGCGATAACTTGTTGGGCATTTGTGTGATGGCAGTATTGCAGCATCAAAGTATAACGAGTGAAAAGTGCTAGAAACTGTTTTTGTTCACCTAACTTGGTAATGATATTTGAGAATTTGCAAGCTTGCTGTTCAATATTTATCCTCCTTGTGTTTTTTCCTTCTGGTAGCTGAGTGTGCAGACATGTGGTATAAAATGAGTAAAGATGAAAGGGAAAAGCACATCCATGTCATGAGGGTTTATTTGCTGTCGCCATTCCTATTTGGTCAAGTCTATCAAGAAGACAAGGTAAGAAATAATGTATTATACTATAAATAGTTATTATATGGCTAGCTCAGTGAGTAGGCGAGATGAGCTGAATCCTGCTCTGTGATTGGCTACATGTGCAGGCAACATGGCACTATCTTGCCAGCTCGGGATCACCCGCTGTGTCCTGCAAGAAAATAGTGCCCATTTTCCATGTAATAAATCATTGTTGACCAAACTTGTTGGCTGGCTGGATATTAGCCTCGTTCTTTTTTTGCATGTAACTTATGGACTGAGACTCTGTCTCAGTCTGTAAACACACAAAAGATGAACTCGGCCAATATCCAGCCATCTTGACCTCATGCTTAGATATTTACATTTACCTGACCGTTGAAAAATATGTTCTTTCTTTTGTTGTTTTCAGTGGATAAACTGGGCATATGATTGTAAGCTACTACCCTCTAAAAGGTATGATCTTTTTTTAATTGAAAAACAAAAAAGAAAAAAAAACTGCTTACAAAGACACATCCTTACAACATGAATACTTGGAATTTTGGTTTCTGCTTACAGTCTTAAATCTCAATAGCAAATCCAATTTATAACTTGATGTCCTTTTTTCAGCTCCTTTGAGCAAAAATACTTGGATGAACAGTATTTTGATGCTGTGGATTTAGTTGAAACAGCATTTAACAAACTGGCTGACAATGTGGTGAGCGCATACTTGTAGATATTGTTTTATTTTCCTACACATGCAATTCAGGAAACAGATGAAATTCTGAGATGTTTTAAATGCCCAATGAAAAGAATTCCTAGTTATTCCAGGGATCGATGGTTACATGTATGTGTAGTTGTGTGTTTGGGAAAGTATTATTTAACTCAATGTGAACATTAATCATGAATTTTGTTTTCTTTTGTCATAGAATAATCATGTAGGCCTATAAATTAATATATTTGCATTTCATTATTGTGTTGATAATGTCAGCTGATCTCAATTTGAATAGAAAAACACTGCAAAACTCGAGGATCAAAAGCCCAGAATGGATCCAATCCTGGGTTTTTAAGAAGAATTCAAACATTTGCTTGGATTTTCTCAGCCATACTAGGTAGAATTGCCAAAATAGCAAAACACATTGCTCTATACATAAAAAAGTCATAGTACAGAAATTCTTTCTACAATTAATCAGGTTTCTTGAACATCTTAAGAAAAGTCCAATTTGATTTTGCCTTCAGCCCAAGTCTGAAGGACTGGTATAGCTCAGTCACTGGTTCTGTGGACATTGCCATTTGCAATACATGTCTGTTCATATTTTACATATAGCTTTTAAAGAATAAAGATGGATTGGTTAAAACTCTTGATATAATTGGAAGTGCGGGATTGACAATGGTAAGGAAAATGAAACCATTTTAAAACAAATATAAAATCAGCACAGTTTAAGGAAAAAAACTGTTGTTAGGGTCTATGTAGACTAATTATTTATCCTTTGTGTCATGTGATTTTTGTAAGACAATTTTTATAAGGTGTAATAATTGTGTACAAGTTTCATTATTTAACATAATCTGTGGCTGTCATAATAGTTGGCCAGAGTTTTTGAAACATGTTTTTAAACCTTTGCTTCACCCAAAACACAATATTTTTGCCATCAACTTGTTGTAAGCTTGTCGCTTGTAACACAGTTTTACCATTTAAATCCTCTTTAACATCACCATTTCATTGTAAATGAAACTAAAATTTTGAAATCTATAACATTTAAAAACTGTTGTCATTGCATAGCCTATTTTTGTAAAGTAAAACTGATATATCATGAAATCAGAAGTGCCAAAAATAGGCCTATAAATTACAGAAGTCGCTGTTGTGAAACAAAACTGAAAATATAGTAAAATCACAGTTTTTAATAAATATTTTCCAAGTTAAAAACTGCTTGCTATGTATACATGATCTACTTTTGTAAAACATAACTGAAATGAAGGAATCAGTAATCTTATGTTGAAAATTTCCTGTGATTGTATGGCCTATTTTTGTACAAATGGCAGTGTATAAAAATTGCTGTCATCACGAGTGACATGCATTTTGTAACTACTTTCTTGGACTTTGTTTTACCAGGCTCAGCATGTTGACAAAGCAATAACGTGTGCTGAGAGCTTTCTTGCATTCACCAGTATAAGGTACATAAGGACAACCCACTTCCCTGGGTTGTATTATTATTTTATGTTTAGTGTGAGGTCTTGTGTCCCACAGTGTTTAACCTGAGCAGATGATAATAATTACGTACATTACTATAACCATTTTAAACTTTGCAGTTGTGCAAGAGTTCATTCTACAAAATGTTTCAAGAGTCTAGTCAAAATTTTGAGATGTTGAAATCTCAGAATAATGGTTACTTTTTCAAGTTCAGCAAGTTGCAGGAAGACAAAATTATAGTTAATAACTAGTGTTTATTAAGAGCTTCCAGATAAATTAAACGCCTCATCTTGTTCCATTTATTGTGCTTTTGTGGTTAACAAATTCACATTCTTGTTTTAGGGATAAAATTAAACTGAAGTCGGGAATAAGCAAGAAACAAGGTGACATGGCTTTGCTCTTAGCCCATAATCAAGGTAAGGTTTATGATGAAGGTGATGTTGTGAATTTTTCTCTTTGGTTAGGAGTAACATATAAGTCCGGTTATAAGCTCTGGGCTTACGCAACTTCAAAATGGGTTTTGGGTGGACATAAACACACAAAGGCTCATATCCGGTTGGAGTGTATACGGGTGAGTGGTTTTTAACAAAAGACACTTCTAAATAAGCCGATGAAACAAACATCCAGGAGTATAAAGAGCTGTTTTATGTTCTTTGGAAGAAGAAACACAATCCACAAGTAATAAGATCATCTTGTTGAAAAAAAATTATTAAAACAAGTATGCAAAACACAGACGAAGTTGTTTCATGAAGCTTCCCCGTAACGGAAAATAATGGCCAGTGAGGTACGCAAAGTAAAGGACAGCTTTAATCACGGGCCGGCGGGGGGGGGGNGGGGGTGGATTTACCCAGAATACATGTAGTTGCTGTAATAATTTACTACTATTCTTATTCATAACAAGGGGACCTTAGAAATTGGGGGCAAAACTGGATTTTTTTTTTAATGGCATTTTATCTTTGATTTTGATTGTGAAGAAAGAACACAAGGATATCAATTTGGGTTGAGAAAACAATACTTCATCATGTGTTGTGTTTTTCGTTCGGGCTTGACATTCATGTTCATGCTTAAACAAAGCAAATGACAAATTCATTTTAATTTGCAGTGGCTGATCATATCAAACTGTTAGCAGCAGGTGAGGATCTTGTTGAAAAATTCAACAAGAGATGCAAGGAAGAGGAGGATGTGAGTATGATCTATGCTTCTCTAGAAATATTTAAGTAGGTATTAAATAACTAGTGTTTATCAATTATAGCTAACTACAAAACAGTAAGCTAATTGGGGACACCTGTACTAATAAGAGTTCTAAAATTTGAATCATAAAAAGATTAATTCTAAGTATACAGGACATAGTTAATTATAAAATACTGCTGTTTACAATTTTCACTCACGAGATTAATCTATGCTAATAAAAGTGATTAAAATTCCCATCATGTAAAATTGTTTCTAATGTACAAGGCAAGGTTAAAGAAAAAACCTAAAAAAAACTATTGCTACAATTTTTGCTTATCAGTTCGGTGAAGTTCGGTGGTCTTAGGCGACTTTTAAATTTGTTAAGGTTTTTATGATTTTCTAAGGTCTTCACTCAGCTTTGCCCACAGTTTAGGCCCTAGATAGCTTATAGATAAATAAAACTAGAAAACGATTACAAGTGTGGAATTTGAGGAGCAATCACAGGTTGCTCTTTTCATTTTCCTTTGATGGTGGATCTAATAATAGAGTTATAGTAGTGTCCGATCTCATACTGTCATTTTTACTTTCATTTAATTTACAGCGAACTGCTGACCAGAAGAAGGAAGGGAATGAGGCATTTTCAAGTGCAAAATTTTCAGCTGCTATTTCAACTTATTCAAGAGCATTACATGTGAGGTACTGTATTGCTCAAATGTAGCACCCTTGTTACTCAGCTGAACATATTTAATATTTAATAAGTGACCCTATTCCAAGAAGCGGTTTGTGGTAATCAAGGTTATTATTATACCATTATGAGGATTACTGGTTTGTTGTTACTAAAGCACCATCCCTTGGGGAACCACCCCAGCCACTTAATCAAATTTTAACAATAATTTTCTTTTGTCCAGCATGCAATGGTAAGTAATGAGTCTTCCCTTGCAAGATAAGCCCACTTTTGAAACAAAGGTTCTTGTCTGAAAAGACATGTATACTGTAATGCTAATAACATAAATGCAATCTGCTCACAATGTACATTACAGTGATGAGCTACATACATTTCAGGTGCAAACAACAGTCCTTGCAGTTATAGGCAATAGTTTATCATAGAGCCGTTTTCAATTGAGCGTCAAAAGTAATCAGGCAGTGACTTTGGTTTTTGTTTTACAACGGTTTGAAATTGATGGAGTAGTCTATGGTACATGTAAGTTATTGGTTTTGTTTTGGTTTTATGACACTCAATTGAAAACCACTCTGTACCATCAATCTTCTAATTATTATTTTTTGACTTCCATTTTTTGCAGTCCCTACAATCACGTTCTTTATGGCAACAGGTCTCAGAGCTTCCTAAAAACAAAAGATCTCTGGTTAGTATTTAACTCCAGTTATACGCTGATTAAAATTGAAGTTTGTCATTTTAAATAGCTATGGAGTTGAGCTTGGGACTGCTGAGAACAAATCCATATTGTATTTTGTAGTAAGGTAGAGGGCTTGTCCTTAGGGCCCTCAGACCTTTTGGCCTTCTCTTACACACTTTGGTCTGCAGCCTCCTTACAAAGTTCTCAAGTTTTAGGCTGAAAAATAATTTCTTTAATAAAGCCGTGAAACATTTGTCAAATACTTGTGAAACGTTCGTGGCTAGTCTGACACAGCGTTTTGTCTTGGCCAAGAGACTCATCAGAGACCTTTAGAATTCATAAGCAATCTCGTTGAGCATCATGCTCAAAGTCCCATTTGCAAATTCTCGATATTGACAGTCTGGCCCTCTATTGCAGAAGGATTGCCAACTGTACGTTCACAAATTAAATTTGTACAAGAGCAAACAATTGAAGAGTAACATTTTTAACATTGGTGTGATGTCTAAGTAACATTTTAAACGTTGGTGTGATCTCTAATGACTTCACTGACATAATCAAATTTAGATGTAAATGTAGATGTAGTCAAGATGTAGATGTAACTTTCACCTGTGTGTTTGATAGGAGTGCTCTTACTGATGGCAGGAGGGCAGTGGTGCTGAAAGCAGACTGGCACAAGGTAGGCATTTCAGATTCCCCAGCTGTAGCAGCCAGTGTTTTTTTCAATTGAACCTTCCTGAATATGGGATTGCAAATAAGCACTTACCCACTTGCTCAGGGATTCAAAATCCTCTAAGGCAAAATCTTTCATTTTTGGTACATTCCTCAAGTATTTTGTAGCAAAATACACATGAAAAAGCACAGAATCTTCACTTTTACACTCCATTTACTAGAAGCCAATCCTCTTGCAAGGGAACACCAACTGTAAGTGACACCCTTGGCCCTTTTGACTAGTTGTTGTAAGAACAGGCACTCTCCTTGCTTTCCCCTACATTAGTGATAGGGCAGTGAACATATCAACTTTCCACTAGCTGACCTTAGTCCAGCAAATGAATTTTGCAAAATTATAAAAAGTGAACTCTGTTGATGGTTATATTCAGTTTTCCTATTTAGCTTTCCAAATATCCATGTAGAGTAAAGCCTCAACAAAATTTAATATAGTCCAGGGTTAAAAATAAGCATACATTACACAACGTAGACTTTGTTTTCACCTTAATCCCTTTGCAATGACATAGAAATCAATGAAAAGCAAAACAAGACGAGACAAAATGCGGCACCAGACTTGCCACTAACTATTTTTTGACAAGTATTTGACAACATTCTCGTATTGCATTTTTATTTGCACATGGAAAGCATAATCTTGAACTGTCAACTAGTATTGAATTGACTGTGAAAATGCCATGTTTATTTTCAGGCTCAGTACAGATATGCACAAGCATTTTTTGAAATGGGAAATTTTGCAAGGGCCAAGGAGGTGAACAGGGCAGCATGTAAGATATGCACAGACAAGAAGGACTTGGAGTCACAATTTGAAAAATTTGAGAAAGGTATAAAAGCCATTGTGGGAGCTTAATGGTTAAGTCAGGACTCCACATCACATGAGAGGTTCAGTTTCAATCCCTGGTTGGGGCAATTGTATCGTCTTCTTTTGGCAAGCCATGTTACTTTTACATTGTTTCTACATTTTATTATAGAACAATATCCCACATGTGAGGATATCATTTTTATCCACACATATGTGATACCATTTTTGTCCCTTAACTGCACTTAAATTGTTGGTGAATGATTGAAACATCTTCAGATCTTCTTCGGAAGTCTTCAGCAACATTGGGAAATCATCAGAAAATGTTCGGAAACATTTGTCTAGTCTTCAAACATTTTTTGGAAATCTTCAGAAAGTGGTAGAAAATCTTTGGAAAATTGCCAAAAACATTATTAAGGTTATTCCCCTGAAATAAAACTGTCAATAGACTTTTGTTCAAACTTTGTCCACTGAATATTTATCATATGAGAACTTTAATTATA